AAGAGAAGTAGTACATAATTTTGGATTTTACACATGTTGGACAAGATTGAACAGCCCTCTCAAACAATCTTGAGCCTCTCTGTTTTTTCACTGTAGTTATTTTCCTCAGCTTCCCGTTACTTGGCACCGATGACTTAAATCCTCCAGAGGAATTCAACTATTTCAAGCAGCTTGAGTGCCACTTCTTTGAATCAGGATTTGTGTGATAAATCCAGGCCAAGTAAGAAATTTTTTTCACTTTAACAATGTTACTCACTAAGAACAGCTGGTCCTTTACTACATGCTCATTCAGCAGGGAATACAGCAGTTGTGTGCTTATCTGATCTCTTTCTGACATATTCCCTTGGATAAAGAAGCTTATTAAATGACAGTAAACCAAATATGTTTTCTGATGTCTCTGTTCTCAAATGGCCCTAGTCCACAAGGGACAAACACTCCCTACCAGCTGCATCTGCAACTCCCAACTCACAACATGAACACAGGACATTTGCCACTTCCATTCCCAACTCCTATTTAAGAGTCAACACTGCAGTTTCCTGGGCTGTAATTTCAAAATCAGGTTAGATTTGATGGAATTTCAAAATTAATTTTCAAATTCTTTCATAATTTTTCAAATTCATACATGGTTCTTTGTAGCACCTACATTTTTATGTTCCTTTTCACTGACTGCTCATTTTGGGGATTCTGAGAAAGAATCCTCCTGGTGTCAGCTCACATGTTTCCATGGGCAAAAACATTAAATTCCATGGGCAGTTAAACTTTCTGTGCATTGTCCCACTCAAAGGAAGACCCCTGTCAATATCAGATCAGGTCCTAAGCTGCAATAGGAAGAGCACTGCCAGCTGGTCAAGGCTGGTCCTCCTTCCCGTTCCCTCAGCCCCTCTGAGACTCATCTGCATTGCTGTGTTCAGCTGTGGACCCCTCAGTACAAGCAAGACACAGATGTACTGAAATGGCTTCTGTGCAGGTCATCATGAAGAGAATTAAAGGACTGAAGCACTTCTTCTACAATGACAGGTTAAGAGAGCTAGAACTATTAAACCCGGAGATCAGAAGGTTCATGGAAGCTCTTAACACTACATATGAATACCTGAGGGAGGAAGACAGTAAAGACTATGGAGTCACACTCTTCTCAGTGGAGTTCAAAGGAGAGACAAGAAGCAATGGACACAATGAGGATTTTCACTATCTTCTCAGTGAAGAATATTTCCCTAGTACCCAATGTGAACCTTCAAACTGCCATTTGTGATTCCTGACTGCTTTTACACTCACTGGCACTACCAACAAGAGTTGGGCTTGCTCACCTTTGTACTTTCCCTTCAGGTATGGAGGGTTGCTACTAAGTCATCCCTTAGTCTGTTCTTCACCAGACGAAGCAAGCCCAGTCTCCCCACGTGTCTCCCCAGGGAGCATGAGCTGTGAGCCCTTTACCACCTTGGTAAGCCTCTAGTGAACACTTCAAGTGCCATCCTGGAAACTCAGTCACCACTTAAGCATTTCAACCTGGCTGAACCCAGCCCATTAGCACTTGGTTAAATTACAGGGAATAGTTTCCATCTTTCTACACCACCTTCCCCTCTGTAGCACCATTTCTGAGTCACCCAAGGGCATGCTGTAGTCATCTTGCTGACACTCATAGTCACACTTAGCTTACTTAACAAGTTCTAGTAAGACTGTTAGTATAATTATGTGTAGGTCTGTGTGTTACTGGAACACTGCACCACTTTTCCAGCCATTTGGCAAGTTGTTCTCAGAACTCCTAGTCTGAAGAGCAGTTGCAGAAGGAAATTCTCCTGACCACAGACTTCCCCATGTAGGAACTCTGATGAATCTGTTATCAAGATTAAAGAACTGTCTGGAAAGCTTGTTAATTATGCAATATTTCTTTCCTCCAGAAAATGTAATCAAGCATTAATTCCCTCATGTTCTTGGTCAACATCACACACAGACTTTGATCAGAATATAGAAGGAATAAAACACAGATAAACTAAGATAGTATCACCAGAGTATTTCTGTTCTCTGGAAAAAACCCTAAGACACTTCAGCAACCACAAAAGTATTGTTCTTTCTCCCCCAGCTCGTACATGAGTTAAAGCATATTGACACTATTCTAAACCTCTGGAACAAGCCAAACCTGGACAACTTTACATTCTTGTCAGTGACATCATGCCTATACTGCATATGCCAAGAGAAATTTTCTCATTTTGAATCAATTCCTGATTCCTGTGGAGTTTCCTACCTCCAGCCTCAGATTTCTTACAAAGCACATCTCATAAATACCAGTTCAAAGCTGTGAGCATGCACTGGTATAATCTGGGCGTAGTGGCTTGCAGGACTGCCATGCAGCTTGCTTTCCAGTAACCATTCTAAGTAGTACTTTGAGTGATGTGGAAGTCATGCCTTAGGGTAGGCATGAAAGGAAGGATTTCACTAGCATTTGAATCTATTTCCACTTTGTCAGCACCCACGTAAAATCAGCTTTCCAATTTTATTCACAGACAGACACCTGATAGTACTCAGGATGCAGACTGGAGAGGGGATTGCTTGTCCAGAGATACCTAAAAGCATTTGCGCAGAACAGCTTACCAGGTACTTATTAAATAGCCAGGTTCACACTCTGGCTGGCTTTCCATCTCATCTTCTGAGAATGTGTATGCAGGAGCTGAGCTCTTGTGTGTTTTACGAAAAGCCTAAGGATATCTTAAGGATATCCTTAAGATAGTATATTCTGTTCTTAAGACAGTATATCCAGATGAGGCAATCTCTCAGCATCTTGAGCTATCTTTTATAAATGTGGTTCCCATAACACCAGCTTACACCGGGGCTGAGAAGTGAGAGGGCACTTCTGAGAAGTGGTTTGCTAAGGAGTTCGCTAGGAACATGCTTTTAGCCCTCCGGACTGCAAAGTCTCGTTAGGTAGGGTTGGAACCGCCCGGCACACCTTGGCACAGGCAGCCTCCTCCCCTGCGCTCCCACCGCCAGGCGTCCCCCTGGAACGGGGAAAAACCCCAAACCGACCGAGAAAAAAAGGAGCAGGGAAGGAAACCAAACGGCACTTGCACAAAGTGAAAGCATACCCAAGTTAGCATCCCTTGCAAAAAAAGTAACTAATAGAAAACATGTGGGAAATAGCCTTTATGCAAAGCACAGAAAAATATGCTAATGAAGGTAACAAAAAAATATTAAAACTTAAGCTTTTAACACAGGAGATACAATTATTCTGTCTCCTATTCCTTTTAAGGCAATCTCCTATTTTCTTCAAGATGTAGCATTCAGTTGGAGCCTACGTCCATTTAACATCTACTGAAAAGGAGAAAAAAAAAAAAAATCCATTCCCCTCCCAAGATCCAAAGACATGGAATTTGGCATCATTTCTGCGAAGACATCCTGACGAGGATACAATGAGCTCTGCATGAAAACATTTCTGACACAAACTGGCCACATGTTCTTCAATGTCAGGATGTCAAAATATGCACTAAAACAGAGATTTCACAAGATAAAGATAGCTTAACACTACTGTGTGACTAAAATCTCAGGAGACAGCTGCCTTTTCAAATCGAAATCGCCAGCAGCGGTTAAAAACCAACAAACAAACAAACAACAACAACAATCTTACAGATCATGGTACTTTAGGGGGGGAAAAAAATTAAGTGAGGACTGCTCGTATGAGAAGCAGGGATTAATAGGGCGTTTTGTCAGGTTAGGAGAGTGACGCGTTCGGAGGAACGGGCAGGCAAGGGAGAACGGAACGCAAGGAGAGCAGAAGGGCTCCCGGGATCCGCAGGGCTCCCGGGATCCGAAGGGCCCGGGCCATGGCGGGCCCGGGGCGCGCTGTGACCCCGCAGCGCACTCTGAGAAGCGGCGGGGCTGCCGGCGGAGGTCCGGCTGGGGGAGGCGAGGGGCGCCGGGGGGAAAGCGCACCCCGGCACCACCTCCCCCTCCTCCCTGCGGCGGGGCGGAGAGGCAGCAGGTGAATGCGCCCTTTGTCCGGCCGAGGCCCGGCAGACCCACGGCCGGGCGCTCTCTGGGCCGGCCGGTGTCGGAGGGGAGCCCGAGGCCGCGCCGTCCCGCCGCTGCTCGGGACGGGGCACGGTACAGCGGCGCGGACCCGCCGGGCAGAGGGGAGCGGGATGGGCGCGGAAGGCGGGGCCGGGAGGGGAGGTGGAGGCTGCGGCCGGTCTCCCCCGCCTCTCATCTCCTCAGAGCCCGGCGGGCGCTCAGCTGCTGACCCGAGGCCGCCGTCCCGTCCGAGCGGCGCCGCCGGGCGCTGCCCCCCGCGGACGGAGCCGAGCCGGGGCTGCCGCTGCTGTCGCCCCCCGCGGCGGGACCCGCGCCGGGACGGAGAGGCCGGGCTGCCGGGCCGAGGTGAGTGAGCCCGGGGCCGGCCGGGCGCTGGCCGAGCGCGGAGCCGCCGCGGAGCTGTCGGTGTGCGCCCGCCCGGCCGGGCTGCGGCGCGCTCCGACCCGGCCCCGCCCGCCACGCGGCCGCGCCGCGCCGGGCCGGGCCGGGCCGGGAAGCCCCGGCGGGGTCGGGCTCCCGGGCTCGGTCTGGCCGAGGAACGCCGAGCGACGCTCTCCGGCTCCCACCCTCTGGGCTTTCATTCAGTTTTCCACCGAGCTCAGCAGAATTTTTGAAGAGCATGGAAAGTTACGAGCTCGCGTGCCGAGTGCCTGCAGTGTCCTGCACGATGCAGCGGGCACTTGGAAAGCGAGACGCTTTTGCCCAGCAGTTTCATGCTGTAATTTTGTGATAGTGCCGAGAGAGGGGTGCAGGAACTATCCCGCACCTCTTCCATCACCTCCTCGTTATTATCATAGCCTGTTTATATTACCCATTTTTCTTTTTTCGTGGAACCAGTCCTGAAACCCCTTACTCAGGAAAACTTCCCAACGACTTGGGATGATTTTTTCTCGGGATAATGTCTGCACAGTGTGGATCCCTGATAGCTTGGCGTTGCAATGAGCATGCTGTCTCGGTACAAAATTCAGTACTGTACTCACAGCACTGGAAACTCGGCTTTCTGCAGCAGGACAGCCTCCACCCTCACTGACAGCTGCGTCCCAGAGCAGAAGGGATGTGCGCCGAGGATGGACGTTAATATAACTGTTTGCTTTCATAACAGTTGTGAGTTAGATGGCTAACACTGTCTCTTGCAAGACCCCTAATTTTTCTTCATATGTATTTCAAAAATACATACAGTCTAGATGACCTCTTTCTGCCAATTTGTAAGGCACTGACTAATGATTTGTAGGGGCTCTTCTTTTAGGGTTTTCAAAGGCTATTAATGTGCTTTGTTACTGGGAAATAATTTCGTGTTAACTGGTATCAGAAGCCAAGTGGAATATGATGGTATGACACTTCGAGTTTCCTTGCATGGCTGAAATCCATAGTTCCCTGGATGAACACGTGCATTCATTCGCACAGACTTTCTTTTTTCTTTCTGTCTTGTTTTCTGCTGCATGAACCTTTAACGCTGTATTTAACATTGTATTAAATATTGTATCCCAAAAAAACCAATAAATCAGCTTTTAGGATTAGCACTGGCATTCTAGCTCATGGGTTGCTTTTGTTCACATCATGGTATCATTTATTACATCCTTATCAATATAAACCTTTAACTGGAAACTAGTAATGGACACCTTGTTTCTAAATTTTCTGAATGAAGAGTGATAGGAACATGAAAACTGGATGAATCAGGCTTTTCCATACAGAGCTTCCCAAACTAAATTATGCTTTTGGACCTCTAAGACAGTGTGGTAGCCAGAAGGTAGGCCTCAGAAATTATGACTGCCCTTCATATTATGAGTTCCTTAAAAATAGATGTGGGGTTCACTGTATGTGTTATTAGGTTCTTTAAAGGTAAGATCACCCTACTAAGTTCTATTTGTAAACCATTCTTTGAATTTTAACAGCTAGAAATTATGTATATTGAAACATGTAGAAGTAGAAATTCTAAAATCTGAAGCTTTTTGAAGATACACGATGCCCCAAAACTTTTGATAAAATCATCAGGACTAGTGCTAGGAATAGGGAGGGGGGGAAGAAAGTGTGCCTTCATGAGTCCATGCTTTCTTGTGTGCAGGATATACAAAGGATAACCTTTTCCTACACCATTAGCTGGTGTAGGAATGGCTTAACAGCCTGACCTTCAGCCAGAACTCTTGTTGACCCTCCTCTACAACACATAACTCTGAAGGGTTGTGCTCAAAGGGAGAGCTGATTACCAGGAGGGAAAAATCCGAAGAGAAATGCTAAGGAAAAGAATACTTCAGCTTCAGGTGCCTGTTGGCCTGGCAGAGAGCAAATCCTCATAGCAGACAGTAAAATACTGTAGGACTGATCCACTGAAGAAACCAGACACAATAAAAGAAGGAAAATTGTCAAAGTCTGATTTCTCCATATAATTTCCGAAAAGATTTATGGATATAAAAGAATCAGTAGTTGGAAAACAGTTTACTATCTAGTAATTCAGGTGTTCAGTGGGAAAGTAAATGGAAGAGCCACCTAGTAATTTTTTTAAAGGTTGTCACAGAAAGTCACCCTGTGGTATGGCACTCTGAGGTTCCAGTAGCATGGTGCCAGAGCCTCTCCTCCTGCAGTGTGCAACAGTGTGACACACCCCTGGCAAGTCCTATTGCAAGGTGCTTTCAGGCCCTGTAGTTATTTTACACTCTTCAAAATACTGTCTTTCCTGCTGTCCTAGGATTTTCAGAAACATCTCTTTCAGTTTATCAGTTCTCTTCCTTTTTTTCTTCTTTTTCTGCCATCTGATTTTTTGTCATTCCTCATAGCTTAGAACCATTTCTGCTGCTACTTGTGGTGATGAGTATTGCCAAAATACCTGGCAACAGCATGAGCGAAGCTACAGTTTCTTGACGAACTTAAAGGGAGAATACACCTCTAAAGCCCCAGAGTCACTGTCAGGTAGACCAATCCTAAACCCTAAAATATATTAGAAACCACATCTCCATGGGCTTCTTGCATCAGAAAATCTCATGAACTTAAAATCCATCTTCACAACATTTTACATGTTTTTTAGGCAAGCTGTTTCAAACTAATTTATTGTCATTTAAAACTTTAATTAATGCATTAATTCCACTGGTGACAGGCTTCAATATTATTTTTCATTAGTAATTTTGTTCTATTGATTTATGCTCTCTCTTATTCTCTGCTTTACCCAGAAAATAAGCTGAGTTTTTTCCATTCTCAGAGGACAGACTTTCCTTTCCCTAGTTGATTCTGCCTTTTCCAGCAAAATGTGTGGAGGACAAGGAAGAAAACAATTTGAGGGAAAATAGGCCTCAAAGTTCCAGTATGGCATTTCAAAACCTGTTTTACATCCTGTATTTGTTTTGCAGGGAGTTTCCACAATGGAGAAGAGAGAAGGTGGTAATCATGCCATTGATCAGAATGCAGGTCAGAACATCATGCCAAGAAGAAATACAGGAAATCTTAACTACTTGGTAATGTTTCTGTAAAAAAAAAAAAAAAAAAAAACAGCTCATATGTCACATAGAATATTGCAATCTTTGATTCAATTTTGTCCAGAGACAGTGTTAGCATCACTCTGGCATATCATGACTATTTCTGAAATGTCACAATTTTGACATGAAGAGATAAAAAGATAGAGAACATCTCATTTAATTTAATCACAGTCCATGTTAAAAAATAAACAAAGCTTGAGGCAGCTAAAAACTACATGAGGATAGCTGCTAATTGTATTTTACCAGATGAGCAAAATTCCATAAAAATAATTTGGGATTTTTACACAGGAATATAAAATTTATCTTTGGGGGAATCTTCATCATAGCAACATTGCACTCAGGAAGTTTTCCACATCACACAAAAAAAGTCCAGAAAAAAAATATTTTAATCCTTTCTTGTGTGTGGTATTTGGGCTACATCATCAGGTTTATAGCTGAAATTTGACATTTGAAATCTATAGCTTATATAATAAGTAGCTGAAATGATGCTTTACATAATGTAATGCTTCCTTCCTTGCAGTATAGTTATCTTCCTGGAATGAAAATCTATTTTAAAATCACTGCACATAATGAAGAACGGGAAACCTACACTTCAAGTGTTTTACATATGTGCTGACTATGCTGTTTGAAATACTATGTTTCCAAGTTACCTTGTCTTTAACAGTGCATATGTTTTGTATATGGTTCCACTGCAGTGAGTTGTAAAAGCCATAATGGCAAATACTGTCATTACAGAAGTTTCTAATCTTCTCTTGAACTCACTTTGTATTTCCGTTCTGTCCCTTCCAGAATGTGGATATGCAGGTTGCCAATGCATCAGAAGCAGCTGCACTTTTTGATTTACATCAAGCACACCATTTTGGTGAGTTTGAACATTCTTCAGAACAGCACTGCAAGCAGGATCTGTTTCCTAAGTGGCACTTGCCAATGAAGATAGCATCTGTGATCTCATTATTAACATTTATTTACACTTCCATGAGAGATGTCATATATCCTTTTATAACCAAAAAGGAACGTGTTTTCTATAAAATTCCAATCCTTGTCATAAACAAAGTTTTACCAGTGACTTCAATTACCCTTTTAGCACTAGTGTATTTACCAGGAATATTAGCTGCTAGTTTCCAGCTGTACTTTGGCACCAAGTATAAAAGGTTTCCCCAGTGGCTGGATAGATGGATGTTATCAAGGAAACAATTTGGACTTCTCAGTTTCTTCTTCGCTACACTGCACGCCTGCTATAGCCTGTGCTATCCAATGAGAAGATCCTACAGATACAAGCTGCTGAACTGGGCATTCCAGCAGGTACGATGGGCACACAAACACCAACCCTTCTGTATTCAGAAAATCCTTGCAAATCTGATGGAGGAAAGCCATTTGCATTGCCTTTGTTTGGTTTTCAGGTACATTTACAGAGAGCACTGTTCAGGGATGGAGCAGGACCTAGTTCCCAAAGTAATAGAGTCAGGAGTCATCACAGCTGTGCCAATGTATATTAAATAAGTAATTTTTTAAATTTGGGATTTTTTCCATCTGAAAAATGCACAAAATTGTATCTCACAGAACATTTAAGTCTTTGGCGCACTGTTAGTTTAGTGTAGATTTCTTCTCTGGACCAGTGAAATCTAGAAACAAAAACTGAGCACTGAGCACAATATTTTTAGACACCTTTGCAAAGTGAACCAGCCAGCAGTGAAGGAGGGCTGAGCTAAATCACAGTAATCTGTATTTGCACAAACTAAATGTGTGAATACTGATGGCTCACATTTGGACTAATACACAGTACTTCGTTTAAAGGTAGGATTTCAATGATGCTTTTGATTCATGGTCAATAATTGGCACACAAAGCTCTCCAATGTCCTCTATAACCAGAGAGTTCCTAATGCTCACTTATTTCCTTGGGTACCATAAGTAATGCAGTATTAGGAATCTTTCAATATAAGGTATGGACTGCAAATATATGTTTTATTACCCCTGAAGTCTTTATTATTAAAAATCATTAAAAGCACAATATGATGATGTCAGTAGATTCTTAAGGTTTTTGTAAACAGTCAAATTACCTGTTGAAAACTCTGAAATCAGCTTTACTGGTAATCTGGATTTAATGGATTATTAGAAATTTCCTTGAGATTCCAGTCTTGAAGATGCAGAAATGATCATATTTGGGGCATATTATGCCATGGTGATTACTAGCAGGATCAAAGTGCTGTTGCAGGCAGTTGTAAACAGAAGAAAGAAGCTTTGACATCGGTTTATTAAAATCACAAACGTACCAAGTTGTGGTTTTCTTTAAAAAAACAGCTAAACAGCTACCCTGTCAGGATATTTTTATTAAGAAGGCGTGTTGAATTACCTCCCTGAAGTAGAGCTGTTAATATATTTCCTGTTGTTATAATCTCCCTGATATGGTATTTAGCCATATGTGGGGTTTTTTTCTTGTCAAAACCAAGATTCATCCTTGCTGTGAAGGCAGGTTAAGAGGCCTCAGAATCATGCTCTCCTGGGCCAAGACACTGATGATCTAAATTCTTCTCTCTAAAAGCTCACCTTTGCTCTGGAAATACTAGTGAAGACTTTGTCATCAGAAGTAAATAGCAGTTACATTCAAAGACATTCAAACAAACCAAAATACTGATTTTCTTTGCTTATTTCATTAATATTATGGTGAAATAGTGAAATTATATTTAACACAAACAACCAAGTGTGCCAGATTGTAATTTTTATGGTGTTCTTTTGGCAGGTAAAACAAAAAAAAGAAAATGCTTGGATTGAACATGATGTTTGGAGAATGGAGATTTATGTGTCTCTAGGAATCCTGGGACTTGCTTTGCTGGCTCTGTTGGCAATAACATCAATTCCATCTGTCAGTCACTCTTTGACCTGGAGAGAGTTCCACTACATTCAGGTGAGCATGAATATCATTACTGCATGTTGTTAGTCCCATTTGTAGAACTGTGTGTTATCAGCTAAGACCATTAGGAGTTGGAAATATCAAACACAAAGCTAGTGAAACCAATGGAAAAGTTTGTTCAGTACTCTTTGTTAACTGGTTTGTGAGAAATGTTCTTTCCATTGCTCTTTTGTCAAGAGAATAGGCTGTTGTGTTCAGTTTATAAAATGGAAAGAAAAGACAACTCCATACCATTTTTTTTTTTCCTCCTCCTGACTTTGTGACCAGCAACAGTTGTCCCTTTGAGACCTCTTCTTAGCTGTGGTGCTGAAGTCATCTTCTAGGTATCTTATCTCTCCGGAACATCCCATGTCCTGCTGAATTTGGAGAAGGTGGCATTGAAGCAGTCAATGCTGTTCCCATATGACACAGTGTATTCTGAAAGAGAGATCATAGAACAGATGCTGGGTAATCAAATCCAGCCAGTCTTGAGTTTGCTACAGCTGTGCTTGTTTCCTTAACCCAGGCATTTGGGTTGCTCTCGATTCTCTTACATCATATGCAGTAATAATCAGGGTGGTTCTGTTGACATCAGTATGGTCACACTAGACTTAAGCAAGTGTTGGATCAGGCCCTCAAACACCAAAATCTGAAAATTCAATAATCTACTAATGACCTGGCATTTGAAAATTTGATTTATATTTTAAAAGCAGATCTGAAGTGTATAATCACCAATTATAGATTTGATATTCTGCACACTTTATGAAATCTATAATTTGTAAGATAAGCATACAGAGAATATAGAAAAGTTCAGGAGGAAGTCTCCAAATGCATGACTGCTTTCACGATTGAGAGACTGTGGTGAAGAAATCCAGATGAGTAATACTTCTGTGTTGGACTTACTTTATAAGCAAATAACCTTATTACTTAAAAATCTGTAGCAGAACAGCAGTTGGAAGCTGAAGCATTCAGCATTTGGAAATACAGTGTTCGACTTCACTGATGAATACAAGATTATTAAGTGACAAGAAATTTAGAATTACTAGTAAATTTTCTTTACTCCTGAATTTTGTAAACAAGCTAAGCCAAATTTACCACTGTAAATGAAATGAAAGACCTGAGTTTCCTGTCGTTTTGAAGGGCTTTTGCCATAGTACTAGACTTCCTTGAGTCTGTGATTCTAATTTATATTAATTTTTTTTCTCTGCAAGTATTAAATTAATCCTTTAATATATCTGGTTTTGAACTCATAATGATTTATCACAGAATTAAAGTAATTTAGTATACAGATGGAAATTGAGATATTCAGAATTGAGCATGCTTCAGGAATAACCTGTAATCTCTCAGTCTCTTCTGTATTTTAGCTAAGTATCATAGCAATACTTGAAAAATGTGCCTCTTCCATTTTTTTTTACAGTGGCACAAAGGAGTACAGTTGGAATCTTGACTTATATTTGTTACCTTTTCGTTTAAAGCCAATGGTTGCTTTTTTTTGACTTGAGCATGTTGGTCAAGGCCTATCCAGATTTCTGTATTTGCTTAACAGATTACTTTTTTTGCCAAGTTGGGAAAAATAAATAGCTTGCTATTTTCTTTGTCTTTTCAGAGCAAGATGGGATACTTCGCCCTTCTGCTATGCACTGTTCATGCACTGGTGTTTGCTTGGAACAAGTGGGTTGATGCTAACCAGTTCATCTGGTATACGCCACCTTCATTTATGGTTGCAGTTTTTCTTCCTATTGTAGTTCTGCTTTGTAAATGCGTACTGCTCCTCCCATGTTTCAGGAAGAGGATAAGAAAAATCAGAAGTGGTTGGGAAGCTAAGACACAAGCCAATCAAACCACCATAACTTCCAGACTGTAAATCAAATATGAACATTTCCTGTCTATATATCTAAATATGCTCAAAGCCATGACATTTTCACTCATGAGCTCTGTTTTCACATTTGCTATAGATGTTTCTTTCTCACTTTTATTTTTGACTTCAGGATCATGAGATATTTGATGCAATTTTGTTGTTTTCAAAGACAGCAAATGAAAACATCTATTTTACACTTTAGTCTGTTCAGTGTTTTGTTATTTGATTATTCTTTCTCTTGACTCACTGCTTTCAAAATGCAAGTGTTTCATTGTCTCAATCACAGTTCTTTTGTATGCAAAATCAAACATAAATAATTTCTGCAGATGACCACAGAAAGTAAAAAAATTATTACACCACAGAGCCCAGGAATGCTTTCTGCTTTGCACAGCCACATGTGTACCTTCATTAAATCTCAGAATTATAATGGGACAAAAACTAGAGTATTTACCATCCCATTGCCTTTTAGCACCTGCAGTTGTGTTTCAGTCTGCAGTGGGGACCTTGGCATAAGAGCCAGACAGAAACTGTGTATTCCTGTCAGGTATTGGACGTACACAACTGGGCAAGCAGAATTACAGGGATCTTTACAAGGTAAATATGTCCTGAGGCTTGGGCACAGTCTAAAAAAAGGGGTTTTAGACTCAGATTTCCATCTTATCCAGGACTAGGTGTGTCTCTGTTTACTTGAAACGATAAAACATTTCCCATTTTTTATTCCATGAACATATTCTTTTGTTTCTGATGCTGGAAATTTTCCATGCTTTTGACCTAAGCCTGCAGCCCTTGACATGTGCTAAACTTTATTTGCACAAATTATTCCAGTGGGATAACTCCATCAGGTAAATGTGTTTTTTTGTTTACTCTAGGTCCAACACAATTGTGTGACTGGAAGAAAAACATTAAAAATAGACATTTGAATCTTGCCAATGATTTGGTGAGATTTTCATGTTAAACGGTTTCCAAATGCACTTGCTTTTACAGAAATTTTCCTAATAACTTTAATAAACTCACAAAATCCTACTTTCCTTACATTGCATAGGTCCGGCTGAAAGTTTTAAATTAATAATTAATTAGTTCGTATCTGTTTTGAAGTATGTTATTCAGTAGTAAATATTTCACCCAGCATGAGGAACATTTCTGCCAGTCTGCCTGCAGGAGTTGACTAGGACATGGACTTGATGCCGCCTATTCCTCTGAATGAGAACTGTAATTGGTAATGGCTTTGGTATTAAAACAAACAGGAAAACAACATATGCCTAAAAAAATGTAATACACAGTGCTAATGAATCTGTTTTCTTTTTCTGGATTTTACATGGAGCATAAATAACAGACAAAATAACTTGCTACAGGGATATAATATTTTGTATTTTCCAGGTTGTGACCATTCAATTATTGCAACTTAAAAGTTGGCATTTTTAAAATTTGCACATAATGTAATACTGTGAAAGTAACTGGGGACATGGTGACCTATGTAATATAGATTGAATTCTGTGGCATTATGTATCAAACCAGTAATGAATAGCAGAGGCCAAAACCCTACAATACAGGAAGCTGGACTGCAATGTTAATCTAAGACGTTTCTAACAGAGTGGAACAATATGGTGCTCATTGCATTTGCATTTATATTTCCATGAATGAAATAAATCTTTAATAAGATCTATGCACTTGTTACAGACCGTAGTCCAAGATAGCATCACTTCATTCATCTCAACCAGTTAATATGGTTTGAACTGATAGCATAAATTACAGGGGCAAACTAATTTCAAGATCATTACTATCCAAACTGACCTTTTATGCTCATCGATCAGCTGGGGACATTAAGCACACTTCAGACTTTTCTCTCTAGCATTGCCCAGAGGCAAACCCAGAAGTGTCTTCTACGACATGAAATTTACATACAGTCTACAAAAGCTATTCTAAAAATCACAGATGACATCCAAACATTCAAGCATGGTTTTTCCTACTGATTTGTTTCAAGAAGGAGCCAGGTTTTGTGTGTCACATCTAGCCATTTCTCTAGAAACTACCATTGAATGCTTATAGCCAGAACTTGAGACTTCATAGTGAGTCTCTTTTCTGCTTTCTAAGTCTTTAGTAAACTACATCTTAGTAACTCACTTCCCAGTCTGCAGGCTGCTCAGGGAAGTGGTTGACTCACTATCCGTGGAGGTATTTAAAAGACATGTAGATGTGGTGCTCAGGGACATGTTCTCGTGGTAGGCTTGGCAGTGTTGGATTTATGGGTAGACTCAGTGTAAATTATTCTATGATTTGCTTTTTAGGCATTCAGATACAACAGTGAGGGAGATCTATATAGGGCAAAGAAGAAAATGCTATTGACAGTATTTAACTTCTCTGTTTGTGGCAGACATGATTTAGTTCAATACTGATGAATCTAAGTTCATATGTACCTTTTCATTTATGTTTATGTACCTATTTCAAATTCAATGTATTAATATGCCTATATACTATTATAATACATTAATTGAATGTGTGTGCACATTTTAGACACTTATTTGTATAACACTAATTAGTTTTATAAAACTGTGCATCACTGAATGCTTCAATGTATGCTGTAACTGCCATTGTGGCATATACATCCAGAGTAAAAGGGTAAAAATGAACAGTACACTCTAGAAGAGATGCTGATAGAAATTGTCAAGGGGAACCATTTTCTCCATGCTAGTGAGGAGCCTGGAGCCTCCAAAGGAAAGAAAACAAAGATGTGAAAAGCAAAATGAACACTTGCATAGTGTAATGAAATTGCATTTTCCTTAACAGAACCTTTAACTGTATATTCTAGCATTCAGAGATTTTTGAGAAGGAAAAGAAAGCTTTGGAGGGAGACCCAAGATCCCTGGAAATACTGATCAAAGACCAAGAAAAGTTTAAGAATAGCAAGGGCATTGTGGAAAGGCATTCTTTAGTGTAAGAATATGTTCAAAGTATGGGCATACTTTAGTGTAAGAATCCATCATTCTAGTGGCAGTGGCTTTAAAATGTCTCTGTAAGGCCTGCAAAGTACTTTTTTCTATTGTTACATGTCTCCAATGTATTTGACACAAAATTGAAACTCTGGAGATACAAATTTTTAAAGGGGCCTAAGGAATTTTATGCCAAATTCATTTGGAGAGGTCATATCCCGAATACTCCTCACAGTAAGTGATAGCAATAATCTGCTCAGGAAGCTAGAGCCAGGGCTGTGTTGACTATTGTGTAATGCAAATTCCTGTTGACAGCAGCCTTTACTGTAAGCAGCCCCTCCCTTTGGCCACTTTCTCTGTTCTCTCAGTATTGCAAGTCTTTAAAGATGTGAAGTTCATCAGAGTAGGGCATTGGATCCAGCTGAAAAGTAATGCAGAAAGAAGAATGATTGAGCCAGATCCGCTCATGGGTCTGATTTCACCTGACAGTCCGCATCCTACATATGTCAGTAGGAAGGACTCAAAGAAGAATGGTGTAAACAGGCAGCTTAACTTAAACCAGCCTTAAATGAAAAGTTCTAAGTGTTCCTAAAAGTTAAAACTTACATTATTTCATCCTATTTCAGTAGCAAGAATATTTCCTTTCTTCACTT